AGCCGGGCGTGGTAGTGCGCGCCTGTCGTTACGGCTACTTGGAAGGCTGAGGTGGAAGGAGTGCTGGAGCCCAGCAGGTCATGGCTGCGGTGGCTGGGAGCATGCCACTGCCCTCTAGCCTGGGCAACAGAGTGAGACTACAACTCAAAAAAATAAAAAATAAAAAAAATAAAGATGTAGTTTAATGCCAGTTTGGAAAATTCACAGTGGATGTGGGGTTTGAGGGAGAAGGGAGGCATTGAGAATGAGTCCAAGGTTTCTGGCCAAGGTGAGGAGTGATGGTGGTGGTGATGTGAAAAGGGGCATTTGGCTGGGCGCGGTGGCTCACGCTTGTAATCCCAGCACTTTGGGAGGCAGAGTCGAGAGGATTGCCTGAGCCCATGGGTTCGAGACCAGCCTGGGCAACAAGGTGAGACCTCGTCTCTACAATCAATAAAAAAAAAAAAAATAAGCTGGGTGTGGTAGTGCTCGCCTATAGTCCCAGCTACTTGGTAGACTGAGGTGGAAGGAGCACATGAACCCAGCAGGTCGAGGCTACAGTGGCCATGAGCAGTGCCACTGCACTCCAGCCTGGGCAACATGTGAGACTCCGATTCCAAAAGAAAAGAAAAGGGGCAGTTGTGGGTAAAAGATGAGTTCGGTTTGGAACATATTTGAGGCACCTGAGGACAATTGGACTTGTGCTCCCACATGCAGTAGACTGATCTGGGCTGGGGATGCAGACAGAAGGATCGTGGACTCTGGTCATGGATGACATCTCCCAGGAAGAGCAAGGAAGGGACCCAGGGCTGAACCCTGGGATAGAGCAGCATGTAAGAGGCTGGTGGGGGCTAACTCAGAAGGCTGGCCGGAGAAGTTCAAGGAGCCAGGAGAGCAGGCTCACAGAAACCACGGGGAGTTGTTTCAAGGAGGAAGGATGGAAGAACAGTGTTGTATATCATGATGAATAAGCCCAGGGCTGAGAAATGTCCGTTGTATTTGGAAACTGGTGCCATTTGGGGAAAGCGGTTTGAGCAGAACAAGAACCACATCGAGGTGGGCTGAGGAATGACTGGGAGGTGAAGCGGGGGCAGGAAGTTTGGGGTTGTTTCAGGATATTGGGCTGTAAGAAAACAAGTAAGATGAAAAGTCACAGTAAAGGGAGGGACTCTTATGGGAGGGGACTTTACAGGAAGAGATCATGGAGACAGACATTAACAAAGATGCAACTCCCCAAATGGGCACCACTTTAGTGTTGTTCTATATTGGGGTTCTGTGTAAGTATCTCAATAATTACATATCTAGAAGGGATTCACTTTAGCCCAAAGAGAGGTATCACTTGTCAGAAGGGAGATGGAAGCCTGGGCGTGGTGGTTCACGCCTATAATCCCAGCACTTCGGGAGGCTGAGGTGAGAGGATTGCCTGAGCCCATGGGTTCAAGACCAGCCTGGCCAACTTGGCGAGACCTCTTTACAATAAATCAAAAAAATTAGCTGGACATGGTGGTGTGTGCCTGTACTTCCAGCTACTTGGAAGGCTGAGGCAGGATTGCCTGAACCCAGCAGGTCAAGGCTGTGGTGGCTGTGAGCGTGCCACGGTACTCCAGCCTGGGTGACAGAGTGAGACTCTAACTCAAAAAAAAAAAGTTTCATGAATTTTTAATTTCAACTAGCCTGCCAGTATTAATGCTACCCTTTTTGGTTTGAAAATTGTTATCTTGCTAGGCATGGTGGCTCACGCCTGTAATCCTAGCACTTTGGGAAGCGGAGGTGAGAGGATTGCCTGAGCCCAGGGATTTGAGACCAGTCTGGGAAATTTGGCAAGACTTCATCTCTAAAACAAATAAAAAACAATAATAATAAGCCGTGTGTGGTGGCACACACCTGTAGTTCCAGCTACTTGGAAGGCTGAGGCAGAAGGATCACCTGAGCCCAGCAGGTTGAGACTGTGGTGGCCGTGAGCATGCCACTGCACTCCAGTATGGGCAACAGTGTGAGACGCCAACTCAAAAAAGAAAAAAGAAAAGAGGGGAGAAGGAAGGAATATGCAGAGATACAGGTAGGTGTAGAGGTTTGGGCTGGGGGGATAGAGAATTTCATGCTCAATGGCCTTGGTTTTCCCTTTGAATCAGGTGGTAAAGTAGTTGCCTGAGAGAGGAAGGTGGGGAGGGTCTTGAGGATGAGGATTTAGACCAGTTGCTCTGGCGGGTAGGAGGGGAAACTGCACAGGAATACACAGAAGGAACTCTGAGGGCCACTGAATGTCCAGAAATCTGGAGGTGCTTCGTTTTTGGTTGCCCCGTTAGCTTTTTGGTCGTGCCATTTCCGTCGTCTCAGAAGCTTTCAGGTATGAGCAGAGAAGATAGACAGGTGGGGTGTGTTCTAAAATGGGGGTTGGAAAGAGATTGTGCTGGACGATCTTGGGGCAGGAGAATGGAGCTGCCAGCCAGAAGACGGTGACGCAGAATAGGAAGGAATCGAGGGTGGAACTGAGGGGATGGTCTGGGTAAAAAATGAAGAGGACGAGATACCATTTTTTGTTTAAAATGACAAACAACTTCCTAGCAGGGACAAGGTCACAAAATAAAACAATTAAACTAAGTTATGAACAACATAGCTATCCACCCATAGTGGAATGGTTGAAGGAATTATAGGATAAACATACGAAATATAGCCGGGTGTGTTTGCTCATGCCTGTAATCCCAGCACTTCGGGAAGCCGAGGAGAGGATTGCCTGAGTCCGAGGGTTTGAGACCAGCCAGGGCAACTTGGCAAGACCTCATCTGTACAATAAATAAAAAAATTAGCCGGGCTCGGTGGCTCAGCCTGTAATCCCGCACCTTTGGGAGGCTGAGGTGAATGGATTGCCTGAGCCCGCGAGTTCGAGACCCGTCTGGGCAGGCGAGACCTCATCTCTACAATAAATCAAAAAATCAGCCGGGCGTGGTAGCGCGCGCCTGTAGTTCCGGCTACTCGGAAGGCTGAGGCGGAAGGATCGCCGAAGCCCAGCAGGTCGAGGCTGCAGTGGCCGGGAGTGGCCACTGCACTCCAGTCTGGGTGACAGAGTGAGACTCCAACTCAAAAAATAAAAATAAAAAAATAAAAAAAATTAGTTGGGCATGGTTGTGCACACCTGTAGTTTCAGCTACATGGAAGGCTGAGGTGGAAGGATCACCTGAACCCAGCAGGTCGAGGATGTGGTGGCCGTGAGCATGCTACTGCACTCCAGCCTGGGTGACAGATTGAGACTTTGGCTCAAAAAACCCAAAAACTAAAAAACAAAACAAAACAAAAAACATGAGAAAAATTACGTATTTTTTAATGCGGCCAATTAATATATACTGACAAAAAAAGATCTCCAGGATAGATTGTGAAGCAAGAAAATGAACCAACCCTGTACATAAATATATATAGACTACACTATCAAATTTTATTGCACGCAAGGGAGGGCGAGAGATCACGGAGGGATAGAGAAGATTCAACAGCATACAGTCATCATCGGATTTATTTTATTTTAAAGATATCTATGTACACCAAGTAAATACACATTGGGCTTTGTGCAGTTTGGTTTGTCTTCCACACTGGCATGCAAGATTTTGGCAGATGTGAGTGGGCAGGCCAGGTGCCCCTGGCTGTGACCCTGGCGCTCTGAAAGGAGGGACGCAGCAAGGTGGGGCAGGAAGGAGGAAGAGGATGGAGCGTGAAGCTTCTGGTGAAGGGTGTGTGTGTGTGTGTGTGTGTGTGTGTGTGTGTGTGTGTGTGTGTGTGTGTGTTGTGGCTTATTTATGCAAGTGAGTTCCATTTCCCTTACATCTTGCTGAGGAGAAGACTGCTCCCTGTCATCTGTCTCCTTATCTGTCCTGCACCCTCACATTTTCTCTTGTGTTTTTAAAAGAACGGTTTGACGCAAGATTACACAACGCCCCCACCCCACCCCCTCCGGATTCACAGGTGCCCTGCTGGAAGTGTGAGCCTAAGTCCGCAGGTCTCTCCCTTCCTCTCCCGGCTGGGTCTGGAGACAGCATGGCTCATGGACCCCACCCTTTCCATCCTTTCTTTGAGCTGCAGGTTTTGTGTACAGGAGCCAGATTAGACCTCCTTCCTCAGAACAGTGGTTTTCAAACTCCTCTTTGAATCCTCTGGGTCTCTTAGGACTGTCCAGAGGCTTCTCAGCTAATGAAGCATTTTCCATCAAAAACAGAAAAGCCTGGGCAACATAGCAAGACCTCCTCTCTACAAAAAATAAAAAAAATTAGCCGGGCATGGTGGCATGCACCTGCAGTCCCAGCTACCTGGGAGGCTGATGTGGAAGGATCCCCTAATCCCAGGAAAGCTGTGCTGAGCTGGGATCGTGCACTCCAACCCGGGCAACAGAGTGATATTCTGACTCAAAAAAAAAAAGCAAACTGCCGAGATCTGCATTATTTTATGTTATTTCTTATATCAGGGTTCTATATAAGATTTGTTTTGAAAAATATTTGAAAATCACCACTTTGGATTTGTTCCACACCCCTCTGGTAGTTTTTTCCCCTGCATCTCTCCTCATCTGCTAAATGGGCTCAACAGGTGAGGAGAGCATTTCTCCTTTGCTTGCTAAACAGGTGAGGGGAGCGGGGCTTCTTTCTCTTAAAGGAGTCACAGGCCAGTGCAGCCTGTGTGTACCAGCTGGCCCCCCCCACTGGGCGTTCTTCCCTGACTTAGGAGAAGCTGGATGAGGGGTTGCCCTGCTGCTGGAGGCTCCTGGTCTTCCATCCTAAATAAGATGGATATCAGGACACCAGACTTTCTTGGCTTAAACTGGCTAGTGACCTCCATCCCTGCAGTTACCTAGAAAACCACCTTAGCACCATGTGGAAGGAAAGGACCATCTGGAACTAAAACAACAGTCCTCTTACATATAAGGGAATCTGGGCTGAGAATGGCTGGGGAAGAGAGCCCTTAGGGCCAAGCCCTAGGACTCTCCCACCTCTGGAAAATCTGCCCTGTCCCTTTCTTTAAAGTGCACTTAATACCAAATGGGGACATTATAGAAGGAACTCTTTGTAGGGAGGAAAATGTACATTGGGGAAAAGTCAGTTCCAGCATGAAGGAAGGTAACTGGAGAGAGATATTTTGTCCATGACCTGGAAGCCTCCAAACCAAAAGGTGGAGCCGGGAGGGTGGGGCAGCCCAATATGGGACAAAGAAAGGAATCCAGCTCCTCACTTCCACCTGAGGGCACGGTGGCAAAAACACCTAGGAACCTCCCAGCCTATTCACCCCCAAACCCAAGGAACCATCCATTTGGACTACACTTGCCTATAACTATTGCCATGGACAGATGAGTAGTCATTTGACAAACTGAGGGGAGAAGGTTGCCCCTCCATTTTTCAAAACAATTTTACGCAACTCTCAGTTCCAGTCATAAACTCTGGGGCAGGGAATATCAAAAGGAGCTTTGGAGAAGGGGAAATGGTTCCTTGGACAACCCGTGTTCTCGGTCCAGGGAAAACAAGAAGAGGGAGGAAAAGGTAGATTTTGTAGGGCAGAGGTAAACACTCAGAATCTCTTGACTCAGGTGAGGAGTTTAGGGAGAACATTCTATGTCTAATTCAGCAGCCCTTCCATTGTACCTTCCCCTGTGCCATATGAGAAAGAGGAGGGAGGAAGGTCTCTTTCTCTGTCTTATGTTGCTAAGACATTCTTCTAGAAGCTTAAGGCTTTGTGTGTGTGTGTGTGTGTGTGTGTGTGTGTGTGTGTGTGTGTGTGTGTGAGAGAGAGAGAGAGAGAGAGAGAAGGATCACAGCCCCCCAGCTCCCATTTTTCCTTTTGTCATCTCTGTGACCTCTACTCAGTGACTAACATAACTCAGTGTGAGAGACGCGTATACAGAGAGAAAGAAGAAACATTACCCTCTTCCCTACTGCCCCAAATGAGGAGGGTGGACAGGGCTATACTTAGAAATTGCTAAATACATCATTAGATACTTGGAGAGTGAGACAGAGAGAAGAGAAACATAGCAGCAGCTTTTGATATATAGATACAGAGTACAAAGAGATACAGCGTAAGTAAGAGAAGACATCAAACATGGTACAGTTGAACAACAGGGGTTGGGGAGGGAGTTAGTATCAGAGACCACAGGTTTGCAGCATGCTGAGAGGAGAGGCCTCAGTCCCTCTTAGAAACTGGGGAAGAAAGAGAAAGAGGCTGTGAGGACCCCGCTTGCAGCCCAGCCACAGAACAGGAACAGGTGGCATCACACACACTCTGGTTGACTGTCCTGTTCCGTTAACAGCAACAACCAGACATCCCGCCCTGCCAGCCCCTGCCCCTCCACCCTAGAGTGGCCCACCTCCTCTCCTGCTTTCCTGCCTCTCTGCCTCTCAGGTGATTCTGCCTCTGTGTGTCCCCCTGTGTGTGTCCCCCACCTGCTATTCCTGGAACCCCCTGGAGGGAGCTTGGCTTAGACGCCCCCAGGAAGAAATTGGTCATGTTCTCTTGCTTGAGTTGTCCAATAAAACAGAATCCCAGTGCCCAGTCCCGGGCCCCAAAACAGCCCTGGCAAGAAGCCCAGTGACACACAAGAACCAAGAAGGTGCTTGTGCTGCTAGAGGACAGGACCTGGGGACAGGAGCGAAAAGGGGCTTTCCCACCGCCTTCGAGCAAGACGGGAGGCGAGTGCTGACTGATGCTAGCTAGAGGGATGGCAAGCTGGACTTCGTGGGGGCAGTTCCTAAAGCTTACTGGTGGCATACACAGAGATGAGGAAAGGACACAGGGCAACTCAAACATCGCCTTTCCTGGAGAAGCCTCAGTTTGGAAAACCCCCATTCATCCACAAATATTTGAGGGTATAGGTACTGGGTTTCCTAATATCTAGACCCCGGTGTGGCTCTCCTCCACCTCCCGGTGCTCATTTCTTTGGACGTGTGGCAGTGACCCCTAGTGGTGGAAAGGCAGTACTGCAGTTACTACTACAGTGCCCGCTAGGGGTTGTGGAGTGGGTGGGGAGGTCGGTGTCCAGATGACCCGGAGCAGCACAGACGAGCCCCCAGCGCGGGAAGGCAGGAGTCGAGGGGTAAAAGTTTTGAGATGGTAAAAGAGAAGAAGCAGGAGAACCAAAAAGGCTGTGAGCAAGAGAGGAGGCAACCTGAGGCTGGCCGGAGGCAGCGGCCGGAAGCTACCTGAAAGTGCAGGTGTAGCCGTCAGGGTGGGAGATTAGCTGGCTGCTGTCTCTTGGTGGAGAGGGAAGAGTTTGGCCTGGTCCTCAGCCTCGTAGCCACACGGCAGGTCACTCCTAGGGGAAGAGACCCATCCAATCAGCACCATAGAAATGAAGGCATTCCTGTCACGGTCACTCAGATTGCATTCCTGTGCAGTGAGGAAGGCAGGGACTACTCATGTTTTGCAAGAATACAGGGCAACTCAAGGCCAGAGGGATGTCAGTGCCTTGTCCAAAGTCACGAGGCTCCCAAAGGCGGGAAGAGAAACCCAGGTCATCAGACACCGCGATGTTTTCTTCCAGACCCCATCATGGGATTGGGGAGAAGCCAGAGAGGCGACTGAGAAGGGGACAATGTTCTGTACTGAGACGGGGGAACGACTGACTGGATCTCCAGGACAATATGGTGGTGGCAAGAATGATGTTCATTTCCTCCTCCTTTCCCCAAGGCTCCAGGGAACCTCTCAGTGGGTTACGAGGGAAATGTGATCGTTTCTTCTGGTGCCACCCAGAGAACCCAAGGGTAGTGGGGGCTGGTGTACCTGTTGTCATTGATATCTGTGGCATTTCCTGAAGAGTCATCATTGAGAACACAGAAGCAGAAGAAAAAGGAGACTGGGCGTTAGAAAGTCTCCCCAAGCCCTCTCCTATCCTAATCCCTCCGAGAAAAAGGTAAACTCTGGCCATCCTCAGCTGTCTCAAGCTGTAGCATTCTTTTGCTTGAGAAAAAGTCTCCCTGACCCCTCACTAAGGAAAGGGAAAGAGGACAGGAAGGTAAGGATGGGGACAGGCATGGTAATGGGAGGAATCCAAGAGCTAAAGAAACAGGCAGTGCCAATGCTCAGGCTGTGGGAACAGGGTTACTTTTTTATTTTTTTTGGCATATGCATCTTTTCTCCTTTTTAAGAGACAGAGTCTCAATCTGTTGCTCAGGCTGGAGTGCAGTGGCCTGATCACAGCTCACTATCACCTTGAACTCCTGGCCTCAATGGATCCTCCTGCCTCAGCCTCCCTCAGGGCACCACCATGCCTTCTTACATGTCTTCTTGTTTGAAGCCCTGGCACACTAGAAAGGTTCGATTCATGTTTGTGGTGGACTAGGGTCACTTAACATGCATCTCTCAGCTCGCCCGGGGGACCTCAAAGGCTGAGCTGCCCGGCTTTCTTACTCACCATTGTCCATGTTGGCTTTCTGGTAGGAAGCCAAGGGACCGCCGGAAGACGTGGCTCCACTGCTGGCACAGGAGTTAGCAAAGCTGGGCACAGAGGAGAGGGGGCAGAGGAGAGAGAGGGGAGAGACATAGCCGATTCTGAGGACCTGCCGCTATTTTGAGGACCGCTAATCCACACTCAGCAACAGAGGCACACACCCCTCCCAGCCCCAGAGAGTAGAGGACAATAAACACAGCTACAGGCTGGGGGAGGCAGATGCCCACGCTCTGATCAATAGGCATGGAGTTGAGAAAGGGTTAGAAATGAAATTACTGGCCGGGCTCCGTGACTCAGCCTGTCATCCCAGCACTTTGGGAGGCCGAGGCGAGTGGATTGCCTGAGCCCACAGGTTCAAGAACAGCCCGGGCAACTTGGCGAGACCCCATCTCTACAATAAATCAAAAATTAGCCAGACGTGGTAGTGCACGCCTGTAGTTCTGGCTACTTGGAAGGTTGAAGCGGAAGGATCACCTGAGCCCAGCAGGTCTATGCTGGGGTGGCCGTGAGTGTGACACTGTACTCTAGCCTGGGCAACAGAGTGGGACTTCAACTCAAAAAAAAAAAAAAAATGAAATGAAGTTACTTCAGAAGACAATTAAGCCTCAACCAATCTCTGACCCAACCCTATGCCTTGTCACATCCAGTGAGCCTTGGGTTGGGACTCCAGCCCGCATCCCTGGTCACTCACTACATATCTGAAGTGGAGCTAGGTGTGGCCTGCAGGTACAAATTCTGGTAGTTCTGGAAGAGGCTGTTGGTGTAGCTGATGCACTCAGGGCTCCGGGTGCCATAGGGGTTGGTGGGGGAAGATGCTGGGTAGTGGCCGGGCCGGACAGGTTTGGCTGTGGAAAAGACAGGAAATACCTGTGAGAAGGCTTGTTACCCTGCAGTTGTCCTGGTCCCTGTGCTCATTTACCGAGGTTTAACTGTTTTGCCTGTAAGATAATCACTTTTTGGGAGGGAAGTAGGGTGAGGCTGGGAGTAGGTAGGAAGTAATAATTGGCCAGGCATGGTGGTTCACGCCTATAATCCTAGCAATTTGGGAGGCCAAGGTGAGAGCATCGCTTGAGGCCAGGTGTTCAAGTCCAGCCTGGCCAACATAGCAAGACCTAGCCTCTATTAAAAAAAAATTATAAAAATTAGCCAGGTGTGGCCGGGCATGGTGGCTCACGCCTATGATCCCAGCACTTTGGGAGGCAGAGGCGAGAAGATTACCTGAGTCCCAGGGTTCAAGAACGCCTGGGCAACTTGGCAAGACCTCGTCTCTACAATAAGTCAAAAAAATTAGCTGGGCATGGTAGTGCACACCTGTAGTTCCAGCTACTTGGAAGGCTGAGGCGAGAGGATCGCCTGAGTCCAGCAGGTCGAGGCTGCAGTGGCCATGAATGTACCACTGCACTCCAGCCTGAGTAACAGAAAAAAAACTCAAAAAAAAAAAAAATGTAAGCAGTAATCTAGCTGCTCAGCACTCAGGGATTTGCTGAATTTGCTCCACCTTGAATCCCACCTTGCCTACTGATATCCACTCACCAATCTGAGCAGAATGGCCCCGCTTGCCCGAGCTCTTATAGCGAACAGCTTCCTTGATGCGGTCTACCTCCTGCTGGTATCGGCGCTTGTCCTTCATGGCGCCCTCCTTGGCCTCCTTTAGTGCACCCTCCAGGGCCTTAACTCTCTCAGCCGTAGCCCTAAGTCGTTTTTCCAATTTAGGAAGCTCACAACGCAGATCTGCATTGTCACGTACCAGCTACGGGGTGAGCCGGAAGGAAGAACAAAACAAAGGTGAGTGGTTCAAGACAGCCAGGCGGAATGTGGGGGTGGGAGGAGAGAGAAGAAAGAAAAATCAGGAGTCAGAGAAGATGGAGACCACGTTGTTTCCTCAAAAGGACTCATTTCCTTAATGTACCACGCTGTTCTTCCGGTTCTTTCCTTCTCCCTGAGTGAAGGGTACAGTGGTCACACATTTAAAAGTGACATAATTTTCTAGGCAGCAACACCTACCATCTCCAGTGCAGCCCAGAGCTCTAGTGACAGCACCCTGTCCTATCTCCATCTGGCCTAGACATTCTCCTCCCCCACATCTGAGTGCCAGACCAACAGCCCCAAGGTGACCATGGTTTGACACGCCCCCTTCCCCAGAGAGAGCTTTGGGGACACACACAGGGTGGGGTAGCAGGGGCACAGTGGTGGTGTGCAGGGTGCTTATGGTGTGGAGGAGAATGAGTGCAGGTTAGAAGGGACAGAGCGGGAGTGGGAGCTGGCACTCAGAGCCCCCCACATACATGTGACATGCGGAGGTGCCCCGTAGGAAGGAAAGAAGATGTTTGAGGTCTAGCAGACATTTTTGTTCATTATCTTCACATTTAAGGATTTCCTGGGCTGTCCCTCCCTCATTTAAATTAAGCAGAGCGTGGTAGCAACCACCTTGCAGCCAGAATAGACTTCCTGATCTTTCTACAGGTTTCTGTGTAGCTACTGGGGGGGCGTAATGGGGGCAAGGCCTTGGAAGATGGCAGGTAAATCGGTGTAGCAGGGAAGGCTAGGGTAAAAGGGCAGAGCCAGAAACCCTTCCGTGCAGTTTCATCTGGATAAGTTATGGATTATAAGCAATGTTCTGCTGTGATCCTAGTTTAGCGGACTAGGTGATTAGGCTCAGTCCTGGCAAGAAAGATTCTGTTAACTGAGAAGTTTTTACATCTCTCTCCTGAAAGGTGGTACCTATAGAAGCCGGGAAGAAACTTAGCTTTTTCTTAGTTTAGTCTTTTTGCCTCAGCATAGTCATTAGAAAGCATTCAGACATTCTACTGCAGGACAAGCAGCAGCCTATTCCATCCCCTGTCAGCAAATCTCTATCAGATGCTAGACCAGGACAGCCCAACCTTTCAGTTCATGGTTTAGCATAATAATCTCTAGTAAACTTATGTTCCTTGTCAAGGCCGAAGATCAAAGATCACCCTTTGACTGGCCAAAGTCATAAAAGTGATGACCACCTTTAGTCAGGGAGTTTGTGAATTGTAAATATCTACCAAGTCTCTGGCAGAAAAAACCCCTCCAGGCCCAAACTCCCCAAATTAACCTAATCAGCCCTTTGCGACCTAAGTGACACAGATAAACCTCACCACGGCAGCAATCATGTGACTAACCCACCCATCTGCCTGCTGTCCATCACCTGACATCAGTACCTGCGCTTGCCTGCCCCTTTGTGATGACGTGGAACAGACCACCACCCAATCATCTTAGTGATCTTTCCCCATCAAGGGGAATGGTTAAAAGGACTCAACCACAAGCACCCAGTGGCCATTGCCTGCTGGACTCTGGTGTGGCCACATGCTTCCTGGCTTTGGCCCCCTCCCCCACCTCGGGGAGGTGAATCTTCCTTCTCCCTTCCCTCTCTCTAATTTACTTAAATAAATTTTTTTTCATTGCCTCTTTGTGTGTGTGTTGTAATTCTTTGCATTACTCGGATCTCTGATTACCGGCCCCGTCTGGACCCTCCGAACCTAACATCTCCTTTTCCTTTCTGTCTTGTGCCTGCTGAGGTAGGAAACTGTAGTGAGCCCTATCTTTCCTGGAGCTGAGTAGTTTTTGGTCTTTGGGACTTTGAGGCTTCAATGAGGGAAAAGCAAACAGCATGTGGTTGGATTTTTTTTTCTTTTTTGTTTTTAAGCAATATACTATAATGCATTTGGGGGAGGGAGAGTGAACACAGAATACAAACAGAATGGCAGAACCAATGACAAACGCTTCCTAGCTGCCTTTCAACTTTTCTGGAATGTTGGTACTCGGCTTCATAATAAACAAAGGGAAAAGAGATAATAGCAACGCCCTCTGCAGGCCCACAGAAAATAAATACACCCTGCAGACCATCAAGGGTCACAGGTTTGAGACTCATTACACACGTCCAAAAAAGATGTACCGAGCATTTACCATCTAGGCTACCGTGTGCACTGGAGGAAAAAGACGTGGATGTTGGAGGCTAGTGAGAATATGAGTTCCCATGGAATTTGAAGGTGGATTCGAAAGGAAGGGAATGAAGTGTAGGTTAGGGTCCTTCGTATGACTCTATTAAAAGAGCCGGTTGACCGGGAGCGGTGGCTCAGCCTGTAATCCTAGCACTTTGAGAGGCCAAGGCGAGAGGATTGCCTGAGTCTGGGGGTTCGAGACCAGCCTGGGCAACCTGGTGAGACCTCGTTTCTACAATAAATCACAAAAGCTAGCCTGGTGTGGTGGTTTGTGCCTGTAGTTTCAGCTGCTTGGAAGGCTGGGCGACAAGAGTGAGACTCCAATTAAAAAAAAAAGAGTCAGTTGACAGGCTGTGCAGCCCTGTCATCAAGCTCAGACATTCGGCGCCAGTGAGTGTGCCCCTCCATATACACCAAACATTTCCTGTCCTGATTCCTGTGAACCGCCCTCCTGCCTCCCCACCCCACGCCTTTGAGACCCAGTCACCCTCCTAAGGAACCACAGCAACAGGGAAGGGAACAGAGAAGCCGCAACCTGATACACACGACCTTTGACTGGTCCCACCCAGGGGCTGGCGGGGCCATCTCGGGGACATCATTAGTGTCCCTGCCTGCCTGAGTTCAGCCTAGGCAGATGGAGTTCTCTCCACGAGAAAAAGCCCAACTCCCTTGCTTCTTCTCATCTCCCTGCCTTCCTGCCTTCCATCTCTGGCTGCAGCTGGCCAGTCTCTCAGTATAGAGTTCCAGCCCACGATTCCTCAACCTCTGTCAGTTTCAACCTCTCCCTCCAAGGTCAGCAGGGAATTGCGCTTTGAGCACAGATGGGTTAGAAATTTTGAGAAGGGAAAACAGGCATGAAACAAAGAACAAGGGAAAAGTGGGACCACATATTGCATAAAGAAGGGACTTATAGGGAAAGTAAAAGAGGATAGTGAGGAAAATTCGCAGCTAGGATTTCCTGACTCCTAGGGGCTCCCGAGGATTGGGCTATATCCTAGGTACCTGGCCTCACAAGGTCTCTTCAGCCCTGCTCTGATTCTTACCTGTTTGTGAACCTTTGTAAGCTGTTCCAGGTTGTTCTCAAGAAAGGAAATCTTCTGCTTTTGGGAGTGAATCCCCCCACTGTCCTCGGGCTCCATTTCTGCACTCTGAGTAGAGACAGACGGAAAGATATGGCCATCCTGAGGACACACAGGTCCCACCCAGCCAGGTCAAGCCAGCGCCACAGGGGGCGACAGCGCCAGGAGAAGCCTGAGAATGAAAGGAGAATGTGGGGCTGCTCAGACCCCGAGAATGGCACTCACTTTCTTGACTCGAGTCGTGACGTCTTGAACGAACAGCTTGCGAAGGTTGTGGAGGGTCTGGAGTTCCCGGGCCTGGAAAGAATGATAAGATATTGGGGACAGCCAGGTCCCAGGTCAGCCTTCTTGCTCCAAAGTTATTGGAAGCAGAAATTGACCTTCCATATGACCCAGCAACCCCCCCTACTGGGAACACACCCAGAGACACTCAAATCATTCTACAAAAAAGGTAGCTGAGCTGGGCTCGGTGGCTCAGCCTGTAATCCAGCGCCTTGCGAGGCTGAGGTGAGTGGATTGCCTGAGCCTGAGGGTTCAAGAGCCCGCCTGGACAACTTGGTGAGACCTCATCTCTACAATAAATCAAAAAATTAGCCAGGCGTGTTAGCGCGTGCCTATAGTTCCAGCTACTTGGAAGGCTGAGGTGAAAGGATCGTCGGAGCCCAGCAGGTCGAGGCTGCGGTGCCCGGGAGCGGCCACTGCACTCCAGTCTGGGTGACAGAGTGAGACTCCAACTCAAAAAAAAAAAAAGATAGCTGCACATGTAAGTTTATTGCAGCACTATTCACAATAGCAAAAACAAACCAACCATGCTGCCCATTGAAACTGAATTGGATTTAAAAAAATGTGGTTCATATACACACTGGAATATTATGCAACCATAAAGAAGGACAAACATATGGACTTCGCAGCAACTTGGATGGATCTAGAATCTATCATATTTGGTGGTCTATCACAGAAACAAAGAACAGAGTACCACATGTTCTCACTCATAAGCGGACCCTGAACAATCAGCATAATACTTTAAGAAAGGAATACTACGGGGGGAGAGGGTGGTGGGGGGGACACGACATGAGTAAGACTACCTGATCTCAAACCAGTCAAAGTGAAGACCAAAGGGAGGCACAAACTTTACCTGTATGATGACCACTTGTATACCTAAACCCGCATCTCTAAAATAAAAAAACGGGCTGGGCTCGGTGGCTCAGCCTATCATCCCAGCACTTTGGGAGGCCAAAGTGAGTGGATTGCCTGAGCCTGCAGGATCAAGACCAGCCTGGGCAACTTGGCAAGACCTCGTCTCTACGATAAGTAAAAAATTAGCCGGGCATGGTAGCACGTGCCTGTAGTTCAAGCTACTTGGAAGGCTGAGGCGGAAGGATCGCCGGAGCCCAGCAGGTCGACGCTGGGGTGGCCGTTATTGGAAGCTTCAGTCTCTATAGCCAAGTGAGTCACTCAGTCTTTAGGAAAAATGTATCCTATTTATGTCACAGACTGACTGCAGAAGGGCAGGGGGAACGGGGTCAGGAAGATACCCGTGGGAAGAGATAAAGCCCCCATTCCATTCCCTACAAGTCCTGGTAACTTGGCACAGAAGGATGCCACTCACAACTGTCTCCTCCAGACCCTTGAGGTCCTGCTTGGACTGCTCATGTCGCTCGTACAGAAATCTGTAGCAAGAAAAATCAGGAAAACAAGGGAAACAGAAAAATACCTCAGGACTCCCTTTCCTCCCCTTCTTCTTCCACTCTTTTTATCTCTATTTCATTATTATTCATTATAAAATTAGTCATGTTTACTATGCAACAATTCGAGAAGACTTTAAAAAGAGAGATAATCAGCTGGGCTCGGTGGCTCAGCCTGTCATCCCAGCACTTTAGGAGGCCGAAGGCGAATGGATTGCCTGAGCCCGCAGGTTCGAGACCCGCTTGGGCCACTTGGTGAGACCTCGTCTCTACAATAAATCAAAAAAATTAGCTGAGCCTGTAGTTCTAGCTACTTGGAAGGCTGAGGTGGCAGGATAGCCGGAGCTCAGCAGGTCAAGGCTGTGGTGGCTGGGAGAGTGCCAATGCACTCCAGTCTGGGCGACAGAGCGAGACTCCAACTAAAAAAAAATTTTAAAGTTAAAAAATAAAAATAAAAAGAGAGATAAGGTGAATTATTGTAAATAAAGAAAAAGCCTATCAGCTGAGCACAGCGGCCCATGCCTATAATCCCACCCTTTGGGAAGCTGAAACAAGAGGATCACTTGAGGTCAGGAGTTCAAGACCAGCCTGGCCAACCTAATGAGACCCAGTCTCTATGAATAACCCCCCAAAGACTGGGCATGGTGGCTCACGCCTATTATCCCAGCACTTTGGGAGGCAGAGGTGGGAGGACTGCTTGATGCCAGGAGTTAGAGACCACCATAGGCAACACAGCAAGACTTTGTCTCTACAAAAAATAAAAAAAATTACCTGGCCATGGTGGCACATGCCTGCAGTCCCAGCTACTCGGAAGACCGAGGCAGAAGGATCACCTGAGCCCAAGAGTTTGAGGCTATGGTGAGCCATGATCGTGCCACTGCACTCTAGCCTGGGCAACAGAGTGAGACCCTAACTCAAAAAAACTACCCAACCCCCTAAAAATAAAAATAAAAAGCCTGATTCTATTGTTTACAGATCAAAACAGTATTAACCTTCTGGCATCCATGTTTCCAGACCATGCTTTTCTGTACGTTTTTATCCACATATATATCTGTGTGGGCTCATACCATTCATTTTGTCTCCTACATTTGCACTTTCTAGAACATCACAAACCTTTCCATGTTGGCTAACACTCAGCGGAGATCATTGCCGACAGTCTCCCTTTTCTCCCTCCCCCCCTCAGATCTGCCTCATGTGAGTCACCGTGTCGTGTCTACTTGTGTGCCCTCCCCAGCAAGTGTGTGTGAGTAGCAGTGCCAAGCCCACGTGGCTATAGGCTTGTGGACTCACGTCAGCTCCTGGAGCTTGGTGCTCTTCTCGTGTTCTTCATTTTTCAGCTTCTCGTAGTCAGCCTGCAGCTTCTCTAACTCTAACTGAAGCTTCTGATTCAGACTACAGAGGGTCGGGAGGTTTGCAGAGGAAAAAAAAATAAAGATGCTGAGGGCGGATGGGAACATCAGTCCCTCAGACACTTCTGTCTTCTTGCAGGAGCGAGTCCAGCTAGAATTGATGCCTCTACCTTCAGCTATCGGAGTTTCCACAACAGAGCAAGGCCCCTGAACCCTCTAACCAAAAGAGCCTCCAGGGGCAGGTTCAGTGGCTCAAGCCTATAATCCCAGCACTTTGAGAGGCCAAGGCGAGAGGACTGCCTGAGCCCATGGGTTTGAGACCTGCCTGGGCAACTTGGCAAGACCTTGTTTCTACAATAAATAAAAAAAATCAGCCAGGCATGGTACCACGGGCATGTAGTTCCAGCTACTTGGAAGGCTGAGGCGGAAGGATCAACTGAGCCCAGCAGGTTGACGCTGGGGTGGCCATGAGTGTGTCACTGCCCTCCAGCCTGGGTGACAGAATAAGACTCCAACTCAAAAAAAAAAAAGCCCCCAGGATAGGAGTGAGTCCCTATTCCTTGCAGCTCTTGAAACTGGGTTGCCAAGTTGTGGCATTGCTAGGGGAATGACACATGGAAGTCAGAGCATGTGTCCTGGGGGATGTGAGTGGGCACAGCAAGGCGAAAGGACCCGGGGAGCCAGTGCCACTGAGGGAGCCCAGAGCCAACCATGGGAGCCCTTACTCTTTGAGCTCATCGATGGTCTTCTGTTTTTCATTGATCTCATCCCGGAGCCGGGCCAGCTGCCGGTGATGGGCCTCCCGGTGACTCTCCATCTGCAGTTCCAGGGCCTTCTGCAATTGATCCCGCCCAAGCTCAGAGTCAGACTCACAGACACGCACTCCACGAGGGCCAGCAAAGCCCTCGCCCTGCCAGGCCCTGACTGTCCCCTACACCTTCCCATTCACCTTCACTTCGTCTGCATCCTGTGTGTCGGGCTCCTTGTCCTTCAAGGCCACTTCGTGCACGGTTTCTAAGGGAAATAGAAGACACCTTACATCAAACCCACCTGTCTCAGAAAGAACTCAGACCAGAGCTGACCAGGCCGGGCAGGGGACGGGCCCACAGGGTTGCTCTTCCAGGTTGGAACAGTCGGGCTTTATATAGCAGGGAGAGAGAACATCAGCGGGTGGATGGCTCATATAAAACGAGTCACATGCAAAAGCTTGTTGACTAGCCCAGGAGCCGGCATCTACGGTCCCAGGCTCATGCTTGGGCGGGTGGCTGTCGGTGGTGGCTTTTGACGCCTGTGACTTCCCCACTCTGTGTCCTCTGGGATCTCAGATCCTGGGGTGGGTGGGATGGAGGTATGAGAAGGCCTCACCCTGGGCCTGGAGCTTGGCCAGCTCATCACTCAGGGAGTCATAGGACTCTTCCAGGTGCCGCTTCTTCAGCTCCACGCTCTGCATGTATTCCGTAAGTGAGCGGATCTTAGCCTCATGCTAGGGGGAGAAGGTTGACAAGAGTTAGAAGATGGACAGGGCAAGGGCCACGACTCCGGGCGGCACAGAGCCCCATGCATTCCAGCTCTGCTCCCAAGCCCTCCCTCCTGCTGCGCCTCCCTGAAGATGCAGGGATGGGGCCATTCCCGTGGAGGCTCTTCCTTTTTTTTTTGTGAGTTGGAGTCTCA